TGTGTTAGCAAATTGCAGTAAATCTTCTAATTGTATTTAGCAGATCCCATAGAAATTTCTGCCAACATTCCATCGTAACATTTGCGTAAAAATCGGCAGATTTTCACATCGCAGAGTGTGTGATGCTAGTGTTTTAAAACCATACCAGTATTTCATGACTCATTATTTTGAATGCCCGTTTATTGTCTAAAAAAGTACTGATTTTTAATTCTAATCTAAGACAGAACTTTCATTTGATCCTAATACTGAACGTTCTAGTGGGATAACCTTTTGTAATCGTGAACCTGATCTGGTTGAATCATTTTTAAAATGGTAAACAAACCGTAACTCGGCTAACCCCGAAATCTTGTATTCGGTTTGCTATCTCCCTCATCGCGAGAAAGAGGCCACTCTGTCTTCGTTCTAAAGATACTACAGCATCGGCAAACATCTAAGAGTCAGAACTCTTGACCGCTATGGATAAAGAGGTCGGAAAGGTCGTTGGGTGTGAAAGTAGAAGATAACATCGACCTCTTCTGTGTGGAGTTTGGCTGCTTTAATCTTTACCGCTTTATTCGACAGCAGCTGTTTAGTGGCTGCTGTACTTTGCTTTTGTTTCTCTTGGGAAAAATTATGACCATTTGGGCTCACTACTGGAAGATTACGAAGGGGTGGAAGAAAGTACTCAGAGACAAAATTCACTCATCTCAGTATCAAGTTTACTTAGTTGATTATCAGTTAATATTTCCAGTGCTAAACAAAATCTCTGTCCTTCACTCAGATATTTAATTCATGGCAAAGTTTATTTACAGCTTCTTCACACTTAGTGCATTGAAAGGAAAAACAAGCATTAGTGTTCTTATTTTGTTATCATTTTCATCGAAATTTAAATCTAAAAAGTTATTAAAGTTGTCTCGCGTTTATAATAATGAGCGAAATAAAATATGATTATTGATTATAATTTTAGATTGAAAAAGAAAATGCCATTTAATGAAAGATATTTCGAAATAAAGCTTTTTATATGTTTTAATATGTTTTCTTCTCTGTTACATGTTTAATATGATCTTTCATTGCTGGAATTTTATGACGCTCTGATTTTCCATTTCCTCCACGAACGTTATAGAGCAATGGATTGATTATTAGCTCGAATCCGAAAGTGGGAGTTCCGTTCCCGTGTAAGGCTTAGTTATTTAGGTATTGTTTTTTCTCCTTCGGATGCAAGATCTGTCCCTACTGTATGCATCCTGGGCCACGCTGTCGTTGATGAGACGGTTAAATGACCAATTGATTTGGGCATAATTCCTGGCGAATGCTTTATCAGGAAAGGTGCAGATCCTTTAGTTACATAACAATAATATTCCCTTGAGTATAAATAAAATTTTACATAAGAATTGTGGATCTCATTTGATTTGCTTATAGTAGAGCATTCGTAAATCTGGTTGAATAGTCTTAACTAGTTTATAGTCACTCTTGTTGAATTTTGAAACGGGGAAAGGATGCATAAGACAACATATGTTTAGCCAATTTTAAAATGCTTCTTATTGATTAATTCTGTACGGTATATTGTTTATTTTATTCTTCTGTATCAGTTAGATCAATAATTTCTTTTTGGAAATATTTTTACGGCATATCTTTTAAAAAATATTTTATAGTACCGTCTGCTGGAATTTAAACAATAATACCTAAGGTAATAATTTTAATACCTCCATTTCTTTCATCATATGAACAAAATCTTTTTTTTTTTTAATATTTTCTTCCGTCCTCTCTTTTATAAATCAAAGATATCATTTCATATTTTTTTTCAATTCATTTATTAATTATAATGTTTCTCTAAATTAAACCCCGTGTCTATACTACTTCTAAAAGTAATCATTAAAGTAATCGTCCTAGTGGTTGTGGGAAGTGGTGAAAATGTTCTATGATTTTAATTAGACAATTAGACTTCAAATTAATGGATTTATGAAAGATGTTCTCTAAGACCAAAAAAAAAAAAAAAAAAAAAAAAAAAAGAAAGAAAGAAAAGAAAGAAAGAAAAAGGTATTAAGAGTTTTCTGATTGCAACGAAATAATCCGAACGCGAATGACTTTCATTCCTTACGTGCAAATGATTAAATTGTGGTCTCCAGTGAGTGAATAGGTGGAAGTACACAGCACCACAACTGAGCATCTGGAGGGGGTTATAAAACAGAAATTTGAGTTCTAAGACATAACTTCTATTGGAATTTGATTCCGTCTACTTACTTCAAATGTACCAATACCTCGCAAACGTATTCACCTATAATTTGAGTATATGGGTCACTTGTTTAATATGCATGCAGTCGATCTAAATGAAACATGTTAATCAAATCAACAGAGCGCTGGGCATTTGAATTGGAACGATGTCGCCATTCTGTGACACTGACAGAAATAAATGAACATGGCGGAACAACATCAAGAACGCAGGAGTTGTTTTGTGAGACGACAGAGTGCGTGGAGAGAGCGATCGTCAGAGCCATTCTCATAGCATATAGTTTGTCACTGTCAACGATTCGAGGCATAAATGGGGCACAAATGGCCGCAGAGACCATTGATAAGCGACTAAGATAATGGTGTCTGTGATAGCGGTGCTTATTGCACTGACTATATCTCACTTGGGACACACGAGCAAGGGCGTTTGCATGGGTGTCGAGTTCGGTGAATCTCACTGACAGAGTAGAATTGTCTTCAGCGGTGAAACCAGCTTCGAATTGAGCTGCAAGTGCTAACGAAGATGTTACCAGAAACGTTCAAAATGGCGGTGAGACACAGAACTGACTGTCTCGTTCATATAGACCAACAAACGAGAGTTACAATCTGCTTTGTCATTTAATTTGATATTAGGAACTCCCTGATTATCGGCCGTGTCACTCTTAGAGCACGGCGGTACTCTACGCTCAGTTTTGTACTACTTCATTTCGAGGTATCGCGGCTTATATTTCAAGAGGATTATTATTATTATTATTATAAGGGCACAACCCCGATCCTCCTAGCCGGCACAAGCCGGCCGTATGATCAAAAAATGGGACTGGCGAGGAAAACAAAACATATAAAGTCCAAATCTCAGTGATTCCAATCTCTATCTTTCAAAATCTTTCAAATTTGAAGAGTTCCTTTTAAAATCTTCCTTAAAATTATTTCTATATTTCTCTCTTGCACTCCGGGTAAGCGTACATTCATCGACGAAGTGCCTGGTGTCTCCAAACTTATCACAAATTAAGCATTTATTATTATTCTGCAGATGGAACCGATTTAAGTAAGCCGGGAAAGGCCCATGATTAGTCAGTACCTGATTTATATCAACATTATTCATAATGTTCATCTTCTTGTTTAACTTTATATTTTAACTCTTTTTTTCTTATTAGACGATTCCCAGCAAAAATTCCATTATGTATAAATCCAGTTTTCCATTTCAGCAATGGTCTTTTTTCTTGAATCTTGGATATCAAAATTATCGGTCCCATCCCCAAGTGCCGCCATTTTAGCAAGGGTGTCCGCTCTTTCATTTCCGACAATTCCACTGTGCACTTTTACCCAGTGTAATTTAACAATATGTTTTCTTTCAGTCTTTTTAAACAAGTCTTTTTTTCATTAATATGTCGATTTTTATGATCTAGTTGGGCGAGTACCTAAAGTGCAGATAGGGCATCAGTATAAATATTCCTAAAACATCGAACTGTTAATTTTGTATTAATCCAGTTCAAAGCCTCTGTCAATGCGTATAGTTCTGCTAGATAAATTGAATTCATTGGTTTAAGTTTTATTCTCACATTGCCTATTTCCACTCCTTGAAAACAAATTACCACTGCGCTACTCACTCCCCCCATCGATTCCAGAACCATCTGTAAAAACGTCTATTTCGCTATCAGAAGGAAACCCAAGATCATAAAATAATCCAAATCGTGTTATTGGGTGAATAATATCCTCATTCTCTTGTTGAAAGGCCTTACTTGTGAGTATTTTTTGTCCAATTTCTGTATCTATAATAATTTTATTAGCTAATAGAAACTTTTTGTAGTATAATTTGTATAGAATCGAGAGGGGCGGAACACCCGCAGGGACGCAAGCAACTTCAGTTGAAACGGTTCTGAAGGCTCTTGTAATGGCAAGTATCCAGCCTCTCTGCAGGGTGTCCAATTTCATTCAAATCGTAAGTACCTCCTCTGTCCGGCAGCTCCAAGCTCCGACTCCATAAAATATTTTAGGGATGATCACATTTCTAAAAATTTCACTCAAGGTGGAACTTTTTCTATTCAAAGTATCAGCACTAAAATTATATTTATAACATTTTAAAATGTTATCTGTGATCCTATGTATATGCTTAAAATGTTCCGCAAAACTCAATTTGCTATCAATAATAATTCCTAAATATTTCATATTTTCACCAAATTTGGTACGATTACCCCTAAATTTCAATTCTGGGGGGGTCTAGTCTTTTTCCCACCCCGAGGGAAAAAAGGATTTCAAGAGGATATTGCCCGACCGCTTACGGCAATCATTTTTGCTGATTGCTTTAGTACTTGTCAGATATATGATAGATTAGCTAAATGTCTTTCCGACGGATTCTAAATAGCTAGATTTCTCTCAGAGAGATTCTAAATAGCTAGATTTCTCTCCGATAGAGCACATTTGGGGGATTAGCATGGCCATTCCAGGATGTTGCTAATCTAATACAACCCCCAGCTGTACTCAGATTATGACAGATACTCAAGAAGTCACAGGAGGTCATTCTCCGAATCTGCGAGTGAATGCCAATCCGAATTGCATAAGGGCCAACGGTGCACCAACATCTCGCCATGCGTAGCGTGATTTCCTAAGTAAAACATTCACATCTTTTAACATTTCAGTATCTTCTTTTTCATACCTATAATTAATCTACCGAATAATTTCGTTTTAAGATTTGGAGCGTATTCCGTTCCCTTAGAGTATAGTTTCCAAATTGTGAATGCAACAGTCTATAGAATTTAGTACCTTACGTGAAGAAATACTAAGTATTTTCTTTATAGATATTCAAGCATACGTCTTATTGGCGATCTCCTGCCGAACGATGAATAGCTTCAACGATTCTAAGGAATGGTCATTACTCAAGAAAGACGTAGCCCGTAATATCACTGAATGGCAACAGCCTGATGGAAGTTTTGGAAGTATTTACAGTACTGGATTGGCCTTGCAGGTAAATTGTATTCAACAAAATTAACGTAAATATAAAATATGCCAGTCGGTAAAATGAAACGTTAGAAAATTAAACTGAATAGAAAAGTGTAATATGTTCATTAATTCTTTTTCAAGACAAACTCGTTAAACGTTAATTTCTAGAAAAAGGAGGAACATTAAAAGACATATTTAAAAAAGGGCAGGAAGAGCAAGAAAATAAAAGAATTATTATGGAACTTGAAAAAAGTGTACTTTTTTACTATCTAAGATATAATCTTGTTTTCCAGACAAAACAATAGCGTGTTTAATCGTGCAATTTATGTTTTTCATTCTATATATAATCTTTATTAGTTGGAGTTTTTCTTGTCTGTTCCAGGCTTTTAATGAGAATTTTCAGTTAGACATTTGCAGTATTATTTCATGGTTCTCTTCTTAAATTACGATAATATTTGGTAGGTAGTATAGCGCCAAATATTGGTTTATAAATACTCAGATTATCACAGATACTCAAGTTTACAAGTACATTAGATCGTCCTTTCTTAGAGCTGTGAGAATACTTCTATATATATCAACGAAAAGGAAAAGAAATGCCAGTACTTGTGGATTCATGGAAATAAATTATTATTGAGCAAATTTTTTTTAAATAGAAAAGAAAGATCGGGGTAAGGGCAGCTCTATTTGAAGTAGTATGTATTTATTTTTAAGCCGTTCCATTTTTAAAAATGGAATCGGTCAGAAGCAAAATGAAGGTTGTTTCTGTGATACTGATCGAGGCATTGGGAGGCCATTGTAAATATACTTACTTATGTCTTTCTAACCGTTTTTGTTAGTTTTGGTAAGTAATAGCATGTTGCTTTCAAAAGATCAAGATTTCTAATTCTGAGAAATTACTTTGTACTATGTTTTGTACAGTGTACTATTCAAAGCTTCTTTCTCTATTCCGCATGTTTTCATTTACTTATATAATAATGTTTTTTTCATACTGTTGTTAACAACAGAACGAAAGCAAAATGGAATAAATAAGGGATTACTAAGGGAACAATGTAATAATTGTAATAAAAAGATGAGTAATATTTAAAAAATCCAATCATGACTGTCTACGAAATTTAAAATTTATTTTTGTTAAAACATGGCGAAATTTGTGAGCATTAATATCTCAAATGAAGAAGTAATTTTGATTTTCCGCTAATACGAGCACTTGGAGAAAATTGATCTCTGATAGATAGACACAACGCAAATGAGTGAGTTCTTTCTATAACTGTGATAACTTGAGTTTATAATTACCGCATTCTTTCTCTCTTAATATGAATGGATTATAAAAAATAAGACAATTTAATTATCATACGGTAAGCTTAAGACATATTTTAACTTTTTTGAAAGATGCAGCTTGTTTGCTCTCATCGTAATTATAAAAATTTTAATTTAGAAAGGACTGGTAATAATGGTAAATAATTTAATATTTAAGAAGTTTATACAGAGATCATAAATTTGATTTCTGATGGACAAAAGTTACATGTATTAATTAATCACTTTATCACTAAAATGATATTCTGTATTCTTAAAAATACAGCGGCCCAGTTTTCAAGTAATTTTTAATTTTTTCTAGGAATTTAATCTTAAGATCTTTTTGTGAATCTTTGTTGCTTTACATCAGAGTTTCTTAAACCGTGGGTCGTGACTGGATCTGCAGCAGGGGGTCGCCAAAAATTCAGCAATTTTCATATTTCTTTAACATATTATAATAATTTTATAATTACCAAATATTTTTACATAATATATTTAAAAGTACATAAAGATAAGGCATTACAGACAAAGAAAAAACGAAAACATTTCGACGCAATTTTTTTTTATAATAGAGTCGTTCATTTTACTTAAAAAATTGAAAGTCAGTGACCTAAAACTGCAATAGTATATTACAGTACAAGTGAAGAAACTGATAGTTTCAATCACGCGTGTGTCGGATTTGTGCAATGCTTATGGGGTCCCACAAAATTTTCGTAAATATTAGGGGGTCGCCACACCAAAAAGTTTAAGGAACTCTGCTTTATATGATGTGAGTTTTCTCCGTGAAAATTTCGCATTACCTTACTGAAAACAAAATATTATCCAATACTTCCATCTACTAAGACATAAGATGTTTAAATTTTTGGAAAGGCCTTCAATATAGAACTTATCGATTTGTGCGAAAATGATCAGTCAAACAAACAATGCTTCTTTATTTGTTCCCGTACGCAGGCCTCCGAGATGTTTCGGGGAACCAACAGTTCACTGCCCCGAAAATCTTCCAAGAAAAAACTTTTCTCCGCCATGCGGTTACAGTTAATTTATAGGATGGAGTTATTTTTCGTAGAAGAGTATAAAGTTCCTTGCTGCCCAGCCTTAATACTCTATCATGGCTGGTATGTCGTTTTTGAAGGTGTTACCCTGGAGATTTCAGGAAAGTGATATAATCTAAAGAAGTTTCACGAAGAAGGTATCAGACTGGAGCTAGAATGTTATTAATTTGAAACATTAAAGAAGCATAAAACATTACGTTAATAATAAAAGAACAAAATAAAAGGAAACAACAAGTCAATAAAATAAAAATAAAAATAAAACAACATGTAAAGGATTTTATTAATTATTTATTTACACCTAGAATTATAGTTCGTCATCAATCAGCCTTTGTTTGTATAAGAATGGGCCATTATTTTTTAGCATAGAAAACATGCATTATTTACAAAGGTATTCGCAATTGATAAGGTAAAATAAGTGACGTCGTCCACTGTAAGCAGACCTTATCTCAAATGCACAGAACACACACATTCACAAAAAAAAGTCAAAAGTATTTTAATAAAAGAAGAGAAAATATATTAAAAAGAAAAAAAAAATTGAAAGCTCTCAGAATTTATATTACGTCCAAAGGAGCGTTTTTTTAACGTTTTGAGTGTTACCTTTACTTATTAAATATCATGTTCTTCTCACTTAAATCATAAAATTCAATTCAACAACAACATCACAAAATATTTAAAAGAGCATATCTTTAGAATTTCCGATACACAGTCTCGCGCGCTGGAGATAAAAAATGTGTAAAAAGGAAGTATAGTAATCCCGAAAAATTTCGGGTATCATATTTCAACGAAAATATGCATTTTGACCGCTATCGAATGCAATTTAACGATGTTTTTGCGTGACATCTATACGTAAGGACAGAATAAATGACTCTTTTCCCAAAAAAATTATAAAACTGATTTAGAAATAAAATCACAAGAGAATTTTTCGAAAGGTTTCAGATTTTAAATTACGTCCAAAGGAGCGTTTTTTTAACGTTTTGTGTGTTACCTTTTTTTATTTAATATCACGTTATACGTACTCAAACTATGAAATTCTGTTCAACAGCAATATCGCAAATTAATTTTAAAGTGAGCGTATCTTTAAAATTTCCGATATAGAATCTTGTGCACTGGAGATAAAAGTGTACAGTACAATGTTACCATTGCTTGCTTTGAAATCATTGAGTTCCTTAGTCAAAAACTCGTAAATACTTTAAAAAGTATGAAATAGATAATAAAACAAATTCCTTATTCCAAATTTGGGCCCATATTATAGTAGAGACGTACGTTATTCAAAATTTGATGGCTCATTGTTTTATCACAATGCGAGAAACATACATACATTTATGCAGATTCTTCATTATTTAATTTCTTTAAATATAATACAGGTCTCTAATATTAGGTGGCAACAATTTAAAAAGTGATTTGCCTTTTATAGTGATTTAACGCAAAATGCCAAAACGGCATTAACAGCCCTTCTGGGCTATTTGCAGCTTTGGGATAAGTTAATAATAAATACACGGACATAATTTCGAAGAAAAAAATGAAATTAATAGTTTTAAATAGAAAACAGTAAATAAATAAACAGAGTGAGGTAAAGAAACGTTGTAATAATTAAATGACGCAAAAAATAAAACATTTATAATAAAAAATAAAAACCCTATCTCTATATTTTGAGTATTTTAATGCTTTTTATTGTATTTTTTTATTTTTTCTATTGTTCTAATATTTTGTATTATTTACTTATTTATTTATTCTTTTTATAATGATAATTTTCTGGTTTATTTTGTGTTTTATGTAATTTGTGGTCACATGTTTTGTATTTAAGTGTTTAAGTTTAGCATAGAATTATAGAGCTTTTAATTCTGAGTGCAATGATTTTGGAATTGTAGCTCAAGTATAACTCGAGATGCAGGCAATTTCTCGCCATCTTGGCGACTTTCTGGAAGACTAGCGAAAACATATTTTCGAAGTCCTACAATCGACTACTCCAGAACTCCTGCTGCGAGTATAAATACGGGTTAGAAAAATGGGGAGTTCAGTGACGAAAGAACTAAGAGTTTAACTTAACTATCAGCGTTACCAGCTATTAATTCAGGTAACTTAGCGTTACCTGAATTCCAAATTTACTTTGAGAGTGATATTTTTTTTTTTTTTTTTTTTTTTTTTTGCTTATTACGTGCTCCGACCTTGGGCACTGCACGGAAAAAGAGGGATGCGCCGTGGAGGTCTTTTTGAGGGAAATCTGCCCGTATCCATGTTACACATAGAAAAAACCACGAAAAGTCCCATGCAGCCAGCCCGTTCGCCGGGACTCGAACCCCGGACCGAACTACCAGTGTTCAGCGGCTTTTGCTCTGCCGCTAGTGGGCCATTCAGAGTGATTTGAGGCACTTTCCGATTTATTTCCTGTGTCAAGGAGGATTTGCTAAATATCTGCATTCTCCTTGAATTACTTCGAGCCATTATTGTGCTGTGTGTACTATATATTTATTATTTCCTAAAGAACTTTTTATGTCTTTCTATTTATCTAGACTTATCATTCAAAGAAACGTCAACGATCCCTTAGCTTGCAACAGTATGTAATGTATCTGGTTTTAGATTTTTTAAATGATTATTAGTATTTTAAATTAAAACTATTTTATATACCGTTGTTTAATCACATTAATAATCACATAATTTCAATTTTTCCACCGTTCGGATATATCAGGAAATCAAATTAGACAGGAAATCTTCATTTAGTATTACAAGTATCTAACATTACGATTTCTCGCCTACCCAAATATTGCGCTTCATCCCTTTACCGCCCCACCGGTGGCCAGTGGCATAGCTATAGTGGGGCAAGGGGGGACATCTGTGCCCAGACGCAGCATCCAGAGGACGCCAAACTGTAATTAAGAAATTTTAGAATGAAATGTTTTCCATTCTTGGCACACAGAAGGGGGCGCAAAATCTTCTGGTGTCCCTGGACGGTGAAAACCCTAGCTACGCTTCTGCCGGTGGCTAAGCGGTTAAGACCGTTGGAGGCCGGTATTTCGAATCTAGGCTACCACACGGTTGGTTTCCGTGGTTATTCTTGTATGTAATATGAATAGGGGTGTAAGGATCTGAAGTTTTACTAACGTTTAATTTTATTTTAAAACTTTACTATCCTCCCTTATTTTCCACTTCCGGGCCGGCCAGAATTAAACGGGTTAATTTGTTTATGCAAACTGTACTTACTAATGCCCAAGTATTTAAGTTGTGGCTTTTTGCCAAGAGTTAGAGAGGGAGAAAGTGAGCCGCCTTGCCACTGTATTACACGCGAGTTTCCAATCAACTGCTGTTCGCCTTTAAGACCAGAGGTTTAGTCCTCTTGATATTTAAAACGTATTGTAGTTTCGGCAGTTTGCATAATAATTTAAAAGGCCAGTCTTAGTCAATTGTGTAAATCACTCGAAGATAACTCTTATTTTTTAGTTAGTTAGTAGTTTTTTATATTTTTACGTTCAGACCACATCTTTGTATCCCGAAGTGCGGGAGCACCTGTAATATCGTGGACAATAAAGGGTAAAGTTAACCCTTCCTGCTTGTGTCGTTGATTCCACACATATTTGAACATAGCTTGAGTAAGCTCGCTGTTCCTATTCAGGACACGCAATATTCCCGAAACAAATCAAAAGATATACAAGTTATGGCAGGGGACAGTTCCCATTTGAAGGTCCTTTGCGAAGACATCCCTTCCCTTAGGAAGACAACTCTCGTGTGCTTTGCTGTATCAAATAAACTAGCCTTAAGCTCCCTCCACCGATCGCAGAACTTCGTTCTAACGCAGTATGAAAGCATAATGTCCATTGCACGTTGCATCCCCCCCTGTATACTCTTCATTTGGATGCAATGGTTATTATACATTTTCATTATTTTTTTTCCTTTTCTTATTCCAAATGCATATAATGCTAATAAAAATCTTTTAATTATTGGTATGAAGGAATGTAATTCATAACTCTCTTCCCCCAATTTTTTAGAACATTTGCAAAATTGCCCTAATGTTAACTGCTCTGAATCTTTCTGGCGCTGATAAGAAATGATGTATTTTAGTAATAAATGTATGAACACACACATTGAATTACATACTAAAATAAGTGTGATGATTGAACTTTAATTACGAATATTGTAACTGCTGTATATTTGTATATAAAATTATTGTAATTATCTGCATAATAAGCGTTGTGTAATTAGTTATAAAATGTACTAAAAATTTAATGATGTTTCAGCTTTTATTGTATTTATAGTTATTAGCTTAGAATATTAGATTAGAATTGTTTGATAATCAATAGATTTTCGGATAATAGGATCAAATAACTATACTTTAATTTATATACATCTTTTTATTGGTGTAACAAATAACAGCATTTTAAATACGTCTCTAAATTAAAGAGGTATAGCCGAAGCTATCAAAATTCTAACAGAGTTGGCCCCTTTCACGTTGATAGACTGCGAAGCTATCAAGGGCCTAAAGTACAGCCGAGCGTGATAATAGCTTACGAGAGATTAGCCTAAAAAAGCGGACGCGTGCAGCCAGTATACCTAGTATTTCTCTTTCTAAGACCGAAGAACTTTGCGGTTAAATATCGCTCTTCCTCATTAGGTATTCAGACGTGATTATAAAACTACGTTCTGGACGGAAGTGTAATTGAAGTTAAGAATCGATAGGAAAAGAGCTTTAACTCAAAATTTAACTATTAATAAAATTAACATAATCCTTACAAGTTATTATTGCGCCCATGATGATGTGTGAATAAGAATATGTGTCTCAAGAATCAGTTATCTAACAATAAAATAATATCTTATCTACGGCTACATTTGTTTGCAAAGTTTCACCATTATATCTACGCAATAAACCTCTCTGATTCTATTACAGCCGTATCTCTCTACCCAATCTATTGCTAGTTTTCACAGAATCTGTCACACGTTACACTATTTGAATTATAGCCGCACTTTTTTACGAAGTCATCACGAATAAGATCTGCTGCTAGAGGGAGATGATTTAGAGATACAGGATTCTGTTTTACATTATGTTTTTCTTAAGTCATTTGCTTATGGAAAGTACGCGGAAATTATCTTCAGCAGAGGATGTGCTTTTATGCTTGAAACTACGCAGTTTGTATTTACGTTCCGTACTAGAAAACATGAAACGTCCCATAAAGCTAACTTATTGCGCCATCAATTTAACTCAAGAAGAAACAACAGTAAGTTAGCTACAATAATATTATATGGTTTTTATGATCTGTATGTTGTCTGTAGGTAGATAAGTCTATCGTAGTTTAATATAATTAACCATCCATTCCTACGAATCGTTGGTAAGTGTAGTCGTACCAGATGCCTGAAGCACAGACAGATTTTCTTTAGAAGTAGTGTATACAAACTCTCCATGCATGAGGCATAATTTTTGCGTGTATTTTCCCTAATCAAAATACCTTGGTATACGCCCGCTTTGAAATGTGCTGAGCTTGGTACACGTCTTGTTCAATTTGTTCGGTATGCCAAATTTTTTTTTGGAATTGAATTGGAGCTCAATGATTCACGACTGCGCGCAATACACTTGTTTACCTCTTTCGAGATAATGCTACGACAGTACCATGAGAGTCAGTATGCCTTTTTTTTCCTGTTCTAGTAATAAGCCAGTTCTGAATTTTCAAGTGATATTTTTTGCATAATTTGTTTTATAAATTCATTTAGGAAAGATAATAAGAAGAGCCACGCAACGTAGAAAATTGTTAGGATGACCACGGAAATTAAAAAAAAGAAGAGTTTGCTGAAAAGTATGAAGATCGCATGCGTATCTGAAACTCGGCTGTTGCGTACTGTATACCAAGTGTGAGGGTGTCTACGACTGTGAAAAACAAAGATGCTATTAAATTGGCTAACGTTGCGAAGGAGGTCAAATTAGTTACCAAACAAAGATAAGAAAAGTTAGAATATGTTGACAAATTGCTTTCGATCTAGGTAGCAAAAAACGTTTTATGAGCAGTATCATGTGCACAGAGATTAATTTTTTTTTTTTTTTTTTTTTTTTACCCAGTTCATTTGTATTTTACATTAAATAGTACGTTCTGCTAATAATATTAACAGGATATTTTTATGAGAATGAATTAATTATTTTCCTTTTATTTCTTATTAGAAAAGTACGTTTGGTATATTCCAGTTTGGCATACGTCCAAGGACCTAGAACGGATTAATGACGTATACCGACGTACCACTGTACTGGAACTATGTTTTGTTGTTTCGGCCATGCACAACGAATGCATAACGTTGCAAATGGCCAGGCACTTGAAACTTAATGCGTTCGTCAGGAATTGGCAAAATTCTTCTGTCTTATTTATCCGTCTCATCACCGAGAACGTTGGTCAATATGCACGTCCAGAGGTGATCGAATTACACCCATGAGAAAGGCAAAGAGTAAAATACTAGGAGAGCCCACACCCTTGGCCACAAACTGGGAAAGTGCGCACAGCTTCGCGCGTTTCTCAAATCGCCAACTTGAAAACAAGAGGTCAAATAATTGCACAAACTCAGTATCCATACACATCGACCTATTTTCACTTAAAAAAACATCAGAGAATAGCGCAAACTTGGCATTGCACACTCCCTTAACTTTGTCCATGTACACATCGATACGCGCCATAACCAAAATCATTCGTGTTAAGGGTGTGGGCACTGGTAGGATCCAACCAAGGCAAAGATCCGTTGGAATTTTAATGGAGAACACCTCAGGGGGAGAAGTCCGAGAGTCTCTCTCCTCTCTATCCGTACCTCAAAACCTCCCGAGGAGACTTCCGGCTCTCCATCAACACCTCAGGGGGAGAAGTCCGAGAGTCTCTCTCCTCTGTATCCGTACCTCAAAACCTCCCGAGGAGACTTCCGGCTCTCCATTATATTGAGCGCTTTATGCCGCACGGGAAATATGCATTTACAAATATTCATGCCTTCTCTGGTATTTGAATCTGGGTCCATCGATAGCGTAGCCAACTTCGCTAACCTCTGAATAGGATAAGTTGGAAAACGGACACAAGGGTCTCCCACCCTTTTCCCTTTGTCACAAACCCCTCTAAGGGCTTTCTGTCTCCAGTGTTTTAAATGCTCCATTAGGCAGTATACGCTTATATCCAAGCTTTCTTCTGGATTCGAATTCAGACTCAATGATACTGTAACCAGCGTCGCTAATCACTGTTCGAATCATAGCGACGATGCTTGAACTGTTAGTATATTTTACAGGAGTATTTGAAAGTACACATCAGCTTTTAAATTTTATTGCTGAACATATTGATAACACAGTATGTATGCGAAATTTAATGTGTTACATATTTAATCCATGAAGAAGCAGAAAAAGTTTTGAGTGGAAAGTACCAAATCTGTTTAAGTTATTTGTGATTATTTTTATAGGCACTGATTGCTGCTGATGAATATGGTACAGAAACTGCCAAAGGACGTGCCATGACTTACCTTTTGACGAAACAAGACTGGCAGGGAAGTTTCGGTACTGATGTGGACAATTACTTTGTAATACCTGCTCTCAATATGAAAAGTCTCGCCTCCATACATACCAGAAACTGTAAGCCTAACCCTTACGGTACGCAAAGTACGGGTAAGTTTGCCTGTTTATGTTTAAAGGGAACCTGAAAATTGCGTTTAAATAAAATGATTTTTGAAATCTTGCAAAGAAATCAATTAAATCATATGTTATGAAGCTAATTCTTCTCTCTAAGTGTAAAGACAGGTTTCTTGCCACTTATATTCAAAATTAAGCCGTGATTAGATTTCTTTTTTGTTATTTAGAATGAATATATACAATAGACCACAAAATTTAGCGTGAACTTCCGTGGGAGAATAAGAATGTATAATGAAATATTTTATATGCGTTAAAAAACAAAATAATTATTTTTATATTTAGCCATTGTAACATAAATAACTCCGAGAACTAACATATTAGTTTTGCAGTTAGTTCTTACATTTCCTCTGAATATTTTAATATGGAGAGCCGAAGAGTATGTTTATTTCTAATTTGTTTTTAAAATTTATTTCCTTAAATTCCAAACATTTTACTCATATGGAAATAAAATTTTTCTTATTCTTAATTAGAATTCGGAATGCAAAATAAATAACATGGAATTATTTTTTTACATCTGAGATATATTAAAGTTTATATTTTAAACTAGGCGTATCTAGCGGTGGTCCACATGAAACTATCAGAACCCGTTAATGCGGTCATCACAGTGGAACTCAGATGAACGAAACGATGAGCACATGTGACGTTGAATTTGGAAATGAAAATTTAGTTCAATAATATTTAGGAAACGCATCTTTATTGCCGAAAGTAACTAATAATAGAAGTTTCAAAGAATGGCAGCATTCGAAATCGAATTAAAATTGTGACAGTCTTATAGCAATAAATTGTGACAGCATATAGGGCCTTAATTGTATTAAAATTAAATCAAAATATTATGATCTGTGAGAGTGACAAACGAATTATCACTCCGTCTAAAATACCATGGTCTTGAGAAAGTTTTAAATAACCTTTATATTTAATCTTATAATTTTTATTTAAAATTTTAAATAACCTTTTTTATTTATTAAGGTTTTAAATTGTCATTTTATATTAAAAGTCTTGAGAAGGTTTTAAATAACCTTTTTATTTAATTTTTAAATTTAAACAGAAGGCACAGCTCATGCTTACAATCAAAACACCATCACGTAACATAATTTGAAGTTTCAAATTAAAAGTAACGTAGTCGGAGACTACACAAAGTGGTCCTGCTTAAGCCCGCTCAACATTTTTAATGGCGCATATTTAATTAACGTCGGCTAGCGAAATGGTTAAAGCCGGAATATTCACTGGCGGAGCTGGGCTATGTTACATAAACTGCAGGCGACACCGCCAAAAGCTCTAACACCAAAACATTAAAAATTTTTACTTAAATACTCTACGAGCTAATTTGCATTCTGGTGAGGACTACGGAAGCAAGATAAAGCTTTAAACCACTGGCCGAACGAAGTTATAAAAACAACAAGAAAACTACATCACGCTGAGCATCATTTTATCAGATCTTAAATAAATTTCACGATTTCAGAAGACGTAAACTGCATTTCAACATCTTTGCTACTCCAATTTTGGTTAAAATGAAACTTAATTTCAAACTTGCTGATGAAATGCATAAAGTTGCAGTTAAATGTTCAAAGGCAATTTAAAAAAAAAAAAAAGTCATTTATATAATATTTTATAAAGCTGTACATATTTAACCTGTAACTGCTATGGGGGCAGAGACGCGTCCAACAAAAACCATGGACGCAAATGAGCGCTCGGCGAAGGCTTTGGTTGATTACTCCTGTCTCCATGTGTATGTATTTCTATCGTATACGTTTACCACTTACTTCGTTCGTCTCCTAGCAACAAGAAAAAATGAAATCTCGTTTATGTGGTCAATCATTCTGCAGCCGCACGCCGCTCACGCGAAACCTTTCAACTTAGAGCTGTTAGTAGTCAAAGGGTTAAAAAGTTTCCAGCTTTTCACAACAAACACTGATCATGATACTTCTTTTTGAAACCTCGTATATAAGCTAACCAATTTTTTGTCATATGAAGGAAACAATAAGACCAAGTTTTAGATGAACATTATACATTTAACGTTTATAGTTTACATTATTAACGTTTATAAAGTGACTATACTGTATTAGTATGTGAGACTGAATACAACGCCTGTGGAGGTGAATTTTGGAACAAAAGTCCTCCTGCTTTTCTGGAACAAAAAAATATAAAATTCTGAATACGATTTCAAATTTGTGTTTTTAATAAAATGAACTTTCGCAAATATTTTCAAGTTTTGTAGAAATATAGTACTATATTTTTAAAAGATGATTGATTAATTATGGATTTCTGCTCTACACTCTTTTTAAACTGCTTGCAAATGTCATTCTTTTGCATATTTCAGAAGGCGAAAGACAAGATGGAAAAAAGAAAAAGCAGATGTACGTCCACTACTCTTTGTGGATAGGAGGAGATAAAAACGAAATCCAAACCATTACGTTAGGTCTGCCTCGTCATTCAAATTTCTTAGATGTCATGGAAGCAGCAATAAAAATAAATCCTCGTTACAAGTAAGCCTAAAATGTTTTTCATCATTATATGCTTCTAAAAATGTTTAGCTTCCTCAAACTGCTTAGGTAAGGTAAACGTATTCTTCTGTTTAATAAAAAACACGTTTTGTGATACCAGAAACATTTCATCTTTCTTTTCCTTCATCCTGCTGAAAACCTTCGCTTAAAATTCTTTTACGATTGCATATTAATTTATTAACACTTGATAATTATTTTTACTATTCTAATTTAGCATTCCTAATTTCATTGTATATATGTTACCGTGAAAGACCGAAATTGGAGAATGTCGACTTTCACCGGAGAATGTCAACATTCACCAAATACGTCGGTGAAAGATCGAATATTGCATTACATTCTTGAACATACGGAGTCTCACCGGTGTATGTCGACAATCACAGATATGCTCTGGTGTAGGTCGAAAAGAGAGCAGTATATGTGCACTCTGTTATTGCAAAAGGAAGTGTTCCACAAATAAACGCAGTCGCAAAAGCAAGGGCCTCTTGTGCAATTCAAAGTGTCGTAATAGTTTAAGTTATTGCAATAAATAAGATTTGAAACACATAATTTATCAAGTTTTTTAACTTCTATTATTTTCCTTTCTTATTTTGAATGTACTGTGTGTTTTAAGTTCTTATATTCTTAAGTTCTTATTCAAGTCTCAAGTGCGTTTTTTCGCGATGAATGACGGAGAAGAAAATATAATATTCTTATGTGTTCAACATTCACCATTAGTACATGGTGAATGTCGACATTTACCGGTGCAAGTCAGAAATAAAAGTATTTGGAAACTATTTCGGACAGACACCAAGCGACTATGTGAATGTTGACATTCACCGGTGAAAGTCGACATTCTCCAGATTTCGATGTTTCACCGCAACATATATATATGATAATATATTTTATGATTTCAGACAACGAGAATATTTCTTATGAATTAAGAAATGTTATAACCAAATTCTTTTTCTTACTTAAAACTCCGATTCTTGTACAGCACATAATCTCCATAAATTGCAGCGGGCTATGTTAATGATTGGAGACATGTAAAGAGTAAACGTGTATTTGATGTAGCTGTTAGGACGTCCAGGAACTCTGAATGAAATAGTTGTCAGTCTATTGCAAATGCTGTTATACTACCCTTGGGATAGGTGGATTTGTTCTAAGAAATACAAATTCGAAAATGGGTTAAATCACTGAATCGTAAAAGAAAATAGAAAGAAAGTATCTTTGTAATGGTATGAGTGTTTAGCTGTCGTATAACAAGCGTAGATTCAGGTCTTGACAAGTCAGCATGACACATTAACAGCAAATTCTGTACATAATGCTGTCATCCCCAGCGCCAAACCGTCCAGATTAATGATTTTTTTACTGAAAAGACTCTTTCTGGAGTTCTTTTTACGCATCCTTGAGTATACTACAACAGTGTCTGTCACTTTGCCTCTATAATGTCTTCCGCTGAAGATTAGCGTTTTCTTCGTCTCAGCCTATGGAAACAAGAAGCAGCTTGTTGATTGATTTAAAGACTTATTGTTCTCCCTGCGAGGCACTTGACAGCGATTCACCTCAAGTGGTTTTTTTGAGGACTCAAGGACGAATTTCAGAGTCCCAACTCATTTTAGTGCATCTACTAGGAAGATGCAGTTCCTACGCAAAACTTCAGGTGACAATTTTCTCGAAAGTTTCCAGCTACTTCATGTTTTGCAATGTCTGCAAAGTTGAGGAATAATTACTAAGGTTTTTGTAGTTTTATTCAAGGCCATTTCATAATTTATTCTTCTTACTTTCTATTTATGCATTCATAATTTAATTAATAAATCGTTGAAAATTTGGACGTTGTATAAGAATTATATTTCCAATCAATCTTTTGAACAGTTTTCACTTAACTTTAAAAGCACGTGATTATTCTAATTATTATTAAATAAAACATTTCAAATTAAAAAAAAACTGTTTTTAAGTTTACACTTAATCAAATACGGTAAAGCACTCAATGAACATTTTATCTGAAGATAGGAATACAAAATATTACTGTTGTCGAGTCACTTCGTCGCTTGTAGTGTGAAAAATGAATATAAATCTTATCTGGATAGCTTTTTACTGCATTAACTAATTCATATGCTAACTCCCAAAGCTTCTAAGCAATACTCTTAAAAATTCAAGCTGAAATATCATTAAATAATTCTTGAAGTTTAATTCTATATGACAAAAGTTCTTATTCTAATCGAAATAAGAATTCTAAAAATTGACACTGATTTTGTTCTGTTGCAAACAAACCTTTTTATATCAATTTTAGCCAAATTTTAATGACCATGCACTTAATATGGTGTTAAGACACGTAACCAAATCTGCAGAGAGAAAAAGTGGTAATCTTGATAGTATTTATGAGCCTAATTAGATAATTTTAAAATTTATATTTTTCAAATTGTATGGCCACACGGTTTTAATGGTGATTCCGAATTCTGTAGTTATTGCGAATTATAAAAATATGATAAATAGTAATTACATTAGAAGTAAAATTATCTGTACAATTAAATAGTAACTGTTTTACAGCATCAACCCTGAATAATTCTTTCTGGTTATCCAGCTTTATGTTACAATACTGTAACTAATAAGGACTAAGCCGCCCAGACGGTATAGTGGTTAGGGGAGCCGACTGCGATACCAAAGAGCCTAGGTCCGAATCCCGGAGAAGGCATGGTTGTAACTGTCCGTTCCTTCATAAGAGCCAAAGGTGGCCCACCTTTTAAGTACCTCCATAATTAGAGTGCCCATCACTTCTGGTAGTGACCAAGCCGAAGTCGGCTGAGGGTCCACTCTGATTATAGGTGCCTCCATAATAAATTGACCACCACTTCTGGTCTTAGTAGTGGCCAAGTCGAAGTCGGCTGAGGGTCCGCCATTGGTTAAAAAAAAAGGAAAGCAAAGAAAAAGGGAAAAAAAAAAACTGATACGAAATAAAAGAGACTACTTTGTATGTTACAGGCTCAAAAGTAACAAGAAATAAAATGGGCTGAGGTATTGGTGTGACAATAAAATACACTTATTGTGAAGGCAATCCTATAGGAAAACGCTTCACTTTCAGGCTAGGTTTTCTAAGAGAAACTTTTTACGATACATGTTGAATCTAAGGCGGAGTTTTAAATAAACCTCTTAATGTTTTCTTTTCTTAGAAGATTTATCGTGTGACATTAAAAAAGAAAGATTATTATTATTTTTACTTTATTATTATCATCATTATTATTTTTATTATTTCCGATATATCATCATTTAATTGGTTTAAGTAGTAGCACCAGTTTCTCTTTCCTAAAGTACTTTCGCATTTGCTTGTTTTCAAGACATGCGTTCTGAACTACTATCCAATGTAATATAATGATTATATCTTTAATAATCGATAATAACTGAAGCCATACTGAATATCGTGGGAAGAAATATAGGAGCTGGTTTAAATTCAAATTATGTTCTGTGATGGAAAGTGATACTTTGTGTATTCTTTATTTCTTGTGATTCTAAAACATAATTAAAATCATAAAATTTTAAGTTCGTTATTATTTTTAATTACATTGCCAGTTTTCACGCCATTCGGACGAACCGATTATTTATTGTACATATTTTTCTGTACATGTATTTAATGCTGGAAACATGGCTATTATTAGGATACATGCCGCCTTATGTCGAATACGAAATTTCCGGTCCTCTACAAAATTTAAAATATACCATAATTTACCATTATTTTATTTCTATATTATAATGTTATACGCTTAATGAAGTAAAATAATCTGTTTGATTAAAATCACTGAAATGCTGAAATGCGCAAAGGGTATTAATACATTTTGAAACGCTATTTAAGGCGTTTAATGAATATTTAAAATGTCAATATTTTTCAATTGATTTGATGGCCTTTTTCTGAAGTATCTGCATTGAACTTTCTTTGATAAAGGGATTTTTCATAAAATATCCAAGGGTATTGTTTTCCATTTCTTCGTAACTACTTCCCAGAAACAATTGCCTATCAGTGGATTATTCAAATTATGGAAAAGCATTCGAGGGCTGTTTGTTTAAGAGGAGGAATATTTTCATGGAGAATTTTTTAAGGGAAGCTGGGTTCTAGTCTCGTTCCTTTTGAGGGAAATCACGGAAACTCCCATGCAGCCAGCCAGTTCGCCATCTGAATGTGGGTCAGCAATGATCAAAGGTATATCATGTTCAAAAGTTTTACCGCTTCGCTCTGATGGGTTTCATCAGTCGTAGTAGATTTGTATTTAAAAGAAAAAAAAAAAAAAAAAAGAACCGCTCCATTTCATATAAAGAAAATTTCTTTCTGCATAGTTGCCCTTTAAAGGATGAAAGCGCTTAGAAATTATAGATCACTATGTTTGGGTTATATGCAGGATATTTTAGTGTTCACAAATAAATTTCTCACTGTGCTGATAGTGCCATAGCAGTACAGCAGGATGATTCAACCGAGTTTTTTTTTTGAAATAAAATTACAGTTCATTTGGGGAATAAAACTGGTCATTTCTTCTTCATGATGCCATGCAAAAAGTTTTAAAGGTGTCTGCATTATAGTCAGTGTTCACTATCTGTACATGTGTGTTTAATGTTGACTCCCGTAATTGCAATGGATAACTCCATGAACGTGCCTTGTCGATCTTTCGCTATATTCCTTTAAATTGATGGCGTTTAAAAAAAAAAGGACTATAGTATATTATGTTTCCTGCATTATTTTAATCAAGGAAAAATTTAGAAGCACATACGTAAGCTCACATTAATCTTCTTCATTCTTTCATTTCTGGAAAAAACAGACATTCTATTCCGAAATGCGGATAGCTGGAATTCTAGCGATTCACTGAATATCTGATTAATAGTAACAACAAAATCAAAAGACTGCAATCAGTAAGCCAAAATAATTTTCAGAGTCTGTAGAGTCATCAGGTTATTTTGATGCGGGAGACGTCAAAAATGAGCAATGCTTTTGCCGGAACTCGAACCTCAGGCCTCTTGAATAC